AGGAATAATTTCTATGTAAAACCTCTTCTTTTTATTTAAACTGTGTTTGCAGCCACAATCCTGCTTTTGTGCTGTTCTTTTCAGCTAATTAGTGAGCCTCTGCCAGCTTGTTGTCCATCGCGAGGAGTTCACTCCTTGTTGCTAGGGCACACTGACATGCACCAGTGGTACTAGTTTCAAAGAGATGTGGGGGACTGTAGAGAGAAAGGGCTGATCAAACAAAATGTGTTCTTTTTTCTTTTTTTAATCCATCCTTTTTGGCAAGGCTGAAAAGTTTGCAATGGAGGAAAAAAACCTGGGTGAATGATAAGGCCTTAAAAAGCTCATTAATTTGAGGCAAGCTAAGCTATGCTGGTGAGTTATCTTATCCTTCCTCAAAATAGACTTTTATCAAAATGGGAGAGCAAGGACCTAAAAGGGTTTGTGCCTTAAAAAAAGTAATTAGTGCCTAAGGATTTTGTTGTTGCTAGTAATATTATTGTGTGGGCGGGTATTTAAAGATAGAGCTGTAGCCTGTTGAAAGTGCTGTCCCTTCACAGCAACCAGCAGTGTCCTAACTTACTTTTTGTCTTATAGCCTGGTCTAGATTCTAGCCACTTCATGAGCCTATGTCATCACATTCTGTTAGCATCTTTCATTATTGCTAATTTCACATGCTCATAAAGCACATTCTAAACCCCCTCAATATTTGTACATCTAACTGCTGTAGTGCTTTTGACTTTCCCCCACCCCCACAACAAGAAGAAAAGGCCCTGTGATTTAAATCTTGTTTAAATCACCACTGTTATAGGGATTCTGCTGTAACCCAATTCTGACACATGGGTCACTTGTCCTCATGCCAAAACTCCAAGTCCTCAGAGAAAGGGTGGATACCAGCATAAATGACTGAGGACTGCTTCTCAGTCCGTTTGGGACTCATTTTTCATGAGTGGTGAATTATTTATTTATTGTCACAGTGAATTGAAAAATGGAAGGAGTGTTAAATTGACCCCTGGGGATTCCACCGTTAACACAAACCACAGCTTTCTCACACACCATAGCTACAAATAATTGTTGCTGATGCATTTTCAGTCCTGTGCTAAACTGGAAATTGGGCCCAAGTCCAATGTCGAGAGCTTGGAGGATTACTTCATTATCTTTTATGAGGAAAGGGAAGAAAATATGGCAGAAGGCAAAAAACTGATATGGTGTGTGGTGAAAGGGCTGCGATTGGTTAGCAGCTGCAGGAAGGCTTGACTTAAAATGGGGCCATGGCTCTAGGGGAAGATGGGCAATCTATGCCTACGTCATCCATGGCACCATGCCCAAGACAGAGTCAGGTAGCTCAGTGGTTGTGTGGTACAGAAACAAAAACATGAGGAGGTGATGGTAGGGCGCGGAGTTAGCCAAAACTGTAAGTGGTCACCCCAGGACAGTAGCATTTGGGCAGGAACTGGGCAGGCTTCAGCAACTGGGTGAGGAGCTACAGATAGGAGTAGGGAAGTGGAAGGGGGGGACAAGACACAGTGAAGAGAACCCATTGATATTTATGCTGTAGAGCTGTGCCCCCACCATGTCAACAGGGAAAGTAATGCTTCGTTTTCCCATGTGCTGTTTCCATTTCTTAAATTAGACTCCTGGGCTGCTATTAGCTAGGAGAGAAGAAGACAGATAGAATACAAATGCCTGACTTTCTTCCTCTTGGTAGGTTTTGGGGGTGATTTAAATTGAGGAAACAGTAGGGTTGCCATATTGCATATTTGGGGCAAATTTGTTGAGCTTTCTGGCAAAATCTTGAAAATGTTTTGAAGGCATTTTTTTGTGAATTCGCAAAAAAACCCCTACATTTCCAACATGGGTTTCCATACACCCAGGTTTCCCCGGACAACTTGGACGATTTTTGGAAATTCCGCCCAGATGCTATTTTGGATGGATGAATCCCAGCTATGTCCAGGAAATTCCAGACGTATGTCAGCCCAAGGAAACAGCATGGCTTCTTGCTTTCTCCTAGTACTGCAGCTCTGATCCAACTCCCTTTTCCTGGCAGCTGCTTTTAAGTGAACACCAAGATGTCAGGAGATCAAATCCTGCACCTCACATCTTTGGTCCCAACAAAACAAATGTACTGAAAAGAGTGCAGAGGGGAGGGAGAGTAAGTGAGAAGCTTCTAAAACATGGTCTGTTGTCTGCAGCTCCTGAAGGAAGCCCACACAAAGAGAGGATGTTTTTTAGGGGTTCTGTTTCCTTGTGACAGTCTGCTTTTTTAATGGCACCATCTCCTTCTGAGCAAACAGGGGTTTGGGCCTGGGGCCTGCCATGGACCCCTGATAGTGATCTCTTCAGTATTTATCTCTTGACACTCAGCACCCATTCACCTGTAGCTGCACACAAGTCACCAGCAGCAGCCACTACCCTTCTCTTCCTAGTCACGGGGTCCTTGTTCTCAGCTCCTCCAAGAATTTCATTCCATGTTCAAACAAAGCAAGAAGCAAGTTGTGCAGGTGAACTGTAGAGGTGTCTGCCTTCTCATGGAATGCAGAGTGTTATTTACGTTCAACAGATGTTTTAAGTTCAGATCTTTAAATAGGCAGCCCCTCCTTTTCGTTAATCCCTTCTCCCTTCTCTGCTCCTATAGTTTACCCCAAGCCATAGGAACAAACAGTGTCCCTTGTTGCATGGGGAGGACAGGATTTTCCACATGGCAGCTCAGCCTGAGAACAGTGCCTGAATGTTTGATCTCATTCAGGTATCAGACATCCCTCCGCAGGCTGCTGTAAAGCAATCCGTTCCAGCTGAAGGCTTTTCTCTGAAGGAGGATCAGTTGTTAGAAGAGACAAGCTGAAGCAGGGAGCTGGAAATTCCAGGAGAGAAAAGACGCCACATGCTAAGGATTCTTTACTTCCTTCATGTGTACACAGAGAGAGAGAGAGAGAGAGGGAGGAGGGGGGAGGGAGGGAGAGAGAGAGAGAGAGTTATGAAACCCACCAGCTTGCCTACCATGCAGTTTATCCATATGATCAGTCACGGACCAATTTTCAAAATTAAGTTCTTAATTTTATGTTACAGCTCATGGCCAAATTACAAGTGACACTGTCACTTGTCCAAATTGTCACATGGCCAAATTACAAGTGGCACATGTAGTTGCCCCTGCTAGCTTGGAGTTTTGTTTAGGAAAAGCAACCATGGGGGCTGGCAGAACAGAAGAAGGAATTGTGTGTGTGGAGGGAGGCATGTTTAAGTTTTCCTTTCTTGTTATTTTCCACAATGAACGTCAAACCTCCCCCCATCTGCTTTCTCCCTCACAGGAGAAAAGATACGGATTCCTGCCCTTCTCCATCTCTCATTCCCTTGTAAAGTCTAATTCAAACAATCACCGCACTGTGTCTCTTGCCATTCAACGATGGGAGGTGGAAGAGGGAAAATGCACATCACAGCTGATTTCAGTGTAATTCACACTAGAAAAGAGATAGAAAGCAATCAGCATCAGCTCTGTCTGTCTTAAAATATTTAATCTGGCCTTTAGTATACATGCATTCTGCCTTTTTATGCAAAACAGGATTGTTTTAGGGTGGTAGGGATAACTGGCATATATGCTTAGACATACAGCAGCTTATTTAAATAAAATAAAAGTTTGCTGTGTTACTTATATAAAGCATGAGGCATGCATTTTATGGTAATACAGTCGTTCCTTGGTTCTCGAAAAGAATGTGTTCTGGGAGTCTGTTCTAACTGTGATGCTTGGCTCGTGATATACCACAATGTTGAAAACCTAATATCGCCCAGCCCTACTAGAGAGGGCTTCATCACTGATCCAGATCATGACTGGGTATGCTGCATGCCACTGCAGGCCTGTGTACCCTGAGCTCATTCTGGAGCTTTAGTTAGACAACCTGTTTGTCAATAATAATTAGCCTTTACTGTTCTCTGGACTTAAGTGCACACCCTGCCCCCTTGATTATTTTTTATTTTTAAGCAGTGATTAGTCTTCCTCTTTGTCTTTCAGTGCAACCACAGTTTAAGTCCCTTAACCAAATATTTAGCAGTCCAGCTTCTGGGCATGTAAGGACCTGCCTGAGATCTTGTTGAGCAGCTGCCAATTAATTAGACAATGCTGGGCTGATCAGACCAATGGCCTGACTCCCTATAAGACATCTTCACAAAGTATGCACTGCAGAAGAAGAAGGGAAATGGGAACCGGATTTTGAGAAGTGCACGATTGGGAGTAAATGCAGCTGTGTGTACTCTGTGCTTTGCTAGGGGTTTACTTATGGGGTAAAGAAGAAGAGTAAGCTAAACGAGGCTATCGGCAGAAGGAGAAATCTGAAGGATGAAAGAAAAGTGATGCAGTTTAAAGGAAGCATCCAAGGAGTAAGGAAGTTTATGTAAAGCTTGATAGCATTAAAAGAGGGAAATGAATGATACTTTTTAACCCCTATATGCAAACCCCTGGCAAATTGCATAGTACATGCATCTGTATTCGTTTACAGTTTTGTTGTATCCTCAGTCTCTCAGGTTACTTTCCCATTCCCTCAATTGCTTCCCTTATTTTCAATTGTGTGCCTATTTGAAGCTGCTGTATTTAACACTTTATTATGAATTGTTTGCTGCCGTGAGAATTTAAGAATGTGATTGGGAGGCCCTGTGTAAGTAAAGCTTGCTTATTTGTTTGTTTATAATAGTGCGGAAGGGTGGGGTTTAATTTTGATGTACAGTTAGTGAATCATACTATTGGCTCCTCTGTCCCTGTATTGTGTGATACTATGAGTGGCAGTTGCTTTTTAGGGTCTTATGTTGGTGCTTCTAAGATTAGTTACTTGAGATCCTTTCAACTGGAGATGTCATGGATAATTCTGAAGCAAAAAGTTGTACTTTTAAATACCCGGTAAAGTATAAGAGCTGAGTTAGTAGATTAAACCAAGACTACTAAGAGGTATATCCCCAGTGACTTCTATGATATTCACTGACACAATTTATGAAGGTCATTTTGCAGATCAAACACAGCTTTATTGTCACCCCTACAGATGCATTGTCACCATCCTACAAATGCTGCTCCTCTAAGTGGCTGCCTGGATCGTTAGTGTGGTCAGGCCAGGCCCATGGCAAGCATCTCATCTGGCTGTCAAGAAGGATAACTAACCATTGGAGGGTTTTGAGAAGAGCCTTAATATGGCCAAGGCAGCTGGAAAGGTAAATAAAGAAGGGCTGATTCATGCAACCATTTTTAATGTGGTGAAGCCACCCAATTTATTGAGTTTTTTTGGCATGCTGAGCAGTCTTGGTCTGGTATCAGGGGAAGTTCAAGAGCTGCCATTGTTTTATTTACTTTATTCCAAAGATAGAACCTCATGTTTATATGAATACAAGATGCCTTGTAAAGTTCCAAAAATAGACTCCACTTTCAGCTGAATATATCAAGCCTATTCCCTAGAAAGGGGGCGTAGTCGTATCTGTTTTTCCCGTAATTCCTGGTGTGGCCAGGAAGCTAGAGCAGAAGTTTGGCTATGCAGTGATAGTTTTCTTTCTTTATTTTTTGCCCTTTAAAATATTAAAATTAATTTTAATAATTTTATGCCTCATAGATTTTATTGCAAAAAAACTATACTGAAGCCTAAACCTGACCTGATCTGTATGTCTCTTTTCCTATCTCGTTGTCTTGTCCCCAGCTTATTATAGTGTCTTCCGGTCACTATTTCCCCTAAAGTGTGGTGTCTTTTGAGTTACCTTGTGGTGAAGATCCACAGGGAAGATGCCATCTAAGACTCAGGGAACGATTCAAATACTGTGGTACCTCAGTTTAAGAACAGCCCTGTTTAGGAACTATTCGGTTTACAAACTCCACAAAACCGGAAGTAGTGTCCCGGTTTGTGAACTTTATCTCGGTCTAAGAATGGAATCCAAACGGTGGAAGGGCACTGGCGGTGGGAGGCCTCATTAGGGAAAGCGTGCCTCAGTTTAAGAACAGTTTAAGTTTAAGAACAGACTTCTGGAACGGATTAAGTTTGTAAACCGAGATACCACTGTATGTTGGAACGGCAGGTGAGCTGAAAAATGCAGTTTTGCCAAATTTATCAGTCTGTGATTTCTGCAATTTGGATTCTGCCTACAGTCCTAATTCTGTATTCAGCCAATTGTTTGTGCATCTTGTCACTTGGAAATGCTCCTGCTATTAGCTGAAGTGAATTGTTTCCTTTAAGTGTTTTACCCTATTTTATATTTGTGTTCTAACTTTAATGTAAGCAGCCTTGAGCATATGTTCCTGGACTACAGAGTAGGCTATAAAATGTAAAATAGGAAAATAAGGTCACAGAGCCTGGGCACACAAGATACTAAATTCCATTGAGGTTCAGCCCCCTGCACACACAATGGCCCACACACAAGTTTCTGAAGCCATGAGCCTGAAAACCACATCTGAAGATGTCTCAGCCCTTTAGTTATATTCCCTTACTTACATATCTCGACTTGTGCAGTACATGGCTTGTGTTTACTTTGTTGCCATGCCTTGTTTTTAACTTTGGCTTATGGTTGATGCAATTCTAAAACAAAACTAAAATCTCAACATGACTTATGAAGTACTATCATCATCTTTTAAAATTCTGGGATTTAGCAGAATTGTTTTTACAGTAATTGACCAAGATGAAAGATGACGCAGATGTGTCATTTCACCTAGGAACTAAACAGCTGACTCTGTAACATAGCAGAACAAGAACAAAAGATGCTGCATACCAAGGATGAGGGTTCAGAGCCAAGGAAGCAAGAGGCTTCTCTGCTTTGGAGTCCATTCTTTGAAATGTGTGATTTTTGTCCTTTGCCATGATCCCAAAGGTGTAGTGTGACTCACCCATCACTGCAGGAACTGCAGTCTCAGCTGAAATCCACTTGCTCTTGATTAAGGAATTCAGAAAATGAACTCTTCTCATCTTTTGCAAAACTAGTTAGCATTAAATAAGTAAATAAATAAATTTATATGTATACCGCCCTATACCCATAGATCTCAGGGTGGTTTACAACATATCTGTCACATTTTATTTGTACTACTAAGTCTTGATGTAAATAACATCAAAAGTGCTTGAGAAGGGAGCTGATTATTCATATTCCCTACTACTACACAGTTGCTGCTGTAATATAGGTGCCATCTTCTAGGGTTGAGTACATGCTTTGTATGCAGAAGATCCCAGATTCAATTCCTGGTACATGACCAATTAAAAGGGTCTCAGCTAACCGAGCTGGAAATTACTTCTCTTTGTATGGGACCCTGAAGAGCTACTGCAGATATATGATACTGGACTGGACGGACAAATAGTGTAACCTGGTATAAGGCAGCATCTGTTGTAATAGTGATGTAGTTGCTGACAGTCTCCATATATAGAATATGGGCAGGATACAAAGAGCTACCTGGGATTGGGCCTACCAGGATGGACTTTTGATTTTCCCTCCTTATGAACAATAGACCTCCACCATTGCCATATCCCCAAATGGTTTTGAAGTCTCCCTCAGTTTCAAAAGGGGCTTGGCTATGCAGCCATTATTTGAGAAATACAAGTTCAAGGCCCTGGTGAGCATGCAGAACTGGATGTGCAGTTCTTTGGATCCAGGCCAATAACCATAACGTCCAAGCATAAGGATCTTAGAAATTTCTGAGTGAGTGACAGAAGTTCATAGAATCATAGAGTTGGAATAGATCACAAGGGCCATCGAGTCCAACCCCCTGCCAAGCAGGAAACACCATCAGAGCACTCCTGACATATGGTTGTCAAGCTTCTGCTTAAAGACCTCCAAAGAAGGAGACTCCACCACACTCCTTGGCAGTAAATTCCACTTTCGAACAGCTCTTACTGTCAGGAAGTTCTTCCTAATGTTTAGGTGGAATCTTCTTTCTTGTAGTTTGGATCCATTGCTCCGTGTCCGCTTCTCTGGAGCAGCAGAAAACAACCTTTCTCCCTCCTCTATATGACATCCTTTTATATATTTGAACATGGCTATCATATCACCCCTTAACTTCCTCTTCTCCAGGCTAAACATGCCCAGCTCCCTTAGCCGTTCCTCATAAGGCATCGTTTCCAGGCCTTTGACCATTTTGGTTGCCCTCCTCTGGACACATTCCAGTTTGTCAGTGTCCTTCTTGAACTGTGGTGCCCAGAACTGGACACAGTACTCCAGGTGAGGTCTGACCAGAGCAGAATACAGTGGCACTATTACTTCCCTTGATCTAGATGCTATACTCCTATTGATGCAGCCCAGAATTAAGTTAGGCTATCCTTGTCCAGTTAGGGGCATGGCTGGGCCACCAGTCAATGCTGATGAAAGGCACTTCATGCCACCAAGATCACCTGAGCCTCAAGAGACAGCCATAGATCCCTAAGTCAATTGAAACTGACTGATTCCCTTATCTCACTTGGTTTGGAGGCATAGGTTTTGACTTGGTTGGTGATGGTGTGGATTATTGCCCCTCTCTGTGACCTGCCTGACCCTCTGGCATTACGTTCACCATCCCCACTCTCTGATGAAACTGACAAGGTGGCGGAAGAGGTGGGAAGACATGCAGATATAAATGCTGCCCTGTCACTTTCTTTTAAACATTCAGATATTACTACTTGCATCAGTGCTGATGCACACATGGGCTTCTTTAAAGAAACCCCTCTCTTGGAAGCAGTAGCAATAGTGGCAAGAAGGGAGAAGAGCGATTAGAGGGAGAGAAGAGGGCCACTGAGTCCTCTGTTCCGCTTCATTCCTTGTGTCCCCTAATGTTGCAAAATTCAGTTTGCAATTTATTGTCCCTACAAGGGAAAGCAGCTCACACAAATGTCCCTACAAGGGAAAGCAGCTCACCCAAGGTTCCCAGTACAACTAACTGACTGCGGATCTATTGGCATGTGGGTTCCCAGACCATGCATTACAAACTTGAGGTGGGCTGCTGGAGTGAGGAAAACACAAACCATGTACACACCATACATTTAAAACACATTTCCCTTCTCCAACAATTATGGGAACTGTAGTTTGCTCCTCAGAGCTACAAATCCTACCGCCATTGACAAACTGCAGTTATTAGGATTTTGGGGTGGGGGGAGAGGAATGTGCTTTGCGTGTATTGTGTGTTCACAGTCACATTCCCCAAACGTAATAATAATAATAATAATAATAATAATAATAATAATAATAATAAATTTATTATTTATAGTCTGGGCTGGGTTTCCCCAGCCACTCTGGGCGGCTTCCAACAAAAGATTAAAAATACATTAAAACACTTATCTTCCCTCCCTTCTAGCCCAACAATGGGATCCTGCCTACTTAGTAGGTGCAGGCTTGGCTGAGTGAGACACAGCTCTCTCCCACGGCAGTGGCGTAGCGTGGGTTGTCAGCACCCGGGGCAAGGCAAGTAATTTGCGCCCCCCCCCAGATGAGAGAGAGAGAGCCAGGTAGGGGCAGAGAGCTGCGAGTGCGAGTGCGCCCCCCCCAGATGTTGCACCCGGTGCGGCCGCCCCCCCCACGCCACTGTCCCACGGTGCTATGGCTGAGGAGGCACACAAGGTGATTTAGCTGAGCAGGGAAGCACCTTTTTGTTAGAAGGTGGGAACTAGTTAATACGCAGCTGCCATCACTCTTGATTCACCAGAGCCTTAGTTTGCTAAGGTCAGTGAGTGAGGCTGCCAAGCAGGCTTGAGATTCCACACACCTCTTCCGATAAATTAAGTTACTGGCTTCCAGGACATAACTGCTGATAGGAAAGAAACAGAAAACAGTGTGGCCATGCCAAAAAGAAACACACAATCCAATAAGTTATATCAGGGTAGTTTCTAAAACAGTTGGGCGTATGAATAGAGAGGTCACTTGGACCTATCTTTAGAATTCCATTGGGTACACTGAGGGCCAAGCTAGATGATACGTTAACTATGTAGCCATTCCCTTAAGTACACCGTATCTTGAGAGGACCCAATATGTTACTTACATATAGCGCCCTAAACAACGCTGGGCCAGGTTATTGGAAACACTGACTTCCTATCTATAGCCCTATAAGAGCATTATAAGATCAGTCCTGCTGCTGCTCAATGATTACTGACTTGTAATGCAAAGGCAGGCTTTCTTATTGATTGTACAGGATCTATAGAACGTCCTCCCTGTTGACATTTGAGATTTGAGAATCTGTATCGGCATTCCACCACCTCTTGAAGACACATCTGTTTATACCAGCATTTCCTGATCCCTTGACCTGGATCTCCTGTTTTTGCTGTTGATTTATTTTTATGATACTGCTTTATAGTATGTTTTAATCATAGATTATAATTAGTATATTTGCCCTTTATATTTTGTAAACAGCTTATAAGTCAGTTTAGACATGGAGCAGCATATAACAACAACATCAACAAAAATAATAAATGGGGTTTTTTTGGGGGGGGGGTTAACAGTTTTCCTCCCACATTGGTCCCAATCAGATTGGTACACCTGTGGTTGCAATTTGTGTAAGGGGAAAAAAAGCAAGTGGGAGTCGTCCCCCCCATCCTAATTGTTAGCATGCAGAAAGGGGGTGAGCCAAGTCAGGGCCTTGGCAATGGGCAAGCTGCCATGCTAGGTTCCTGATCCGAATCAGGCCTTCTGTACTTGCAATTTGTGTAACAAAAGCAATCCTGCACTTTAGAGCATAGATACCGAGCTAATATATCATCTCGTTTGACCCCCTCAAAAATAGTGAGATTATTACTTAATAAATAAAGGCTCATCAGGAGAAAGAGAAATGAAGGTTTTTATTCTGAGCTCCCATGTGCCCTGTGATACCTCAAGGAAACCATGGAGTCAAAGGGAATTTAGGTTGACCAATTCATGTATGCAAATGCTCACCTCTGCTTTTCTGCAGCAATGTGGCATCAGGAGTGGGTAGTTTGCAGGGAGGGAGTGGTGGAGAGGTGAAGAAGTGCTTAAACCTTTGTCCCTTTAGATGTTGCTGAACTACAAGTCCCATCAGCCCTGGCAAGCGTGACCAATGGGCAGGTATGACAAGAGCGGTAGTTTAGCAACATCTGGAGGGAAGATTGTCTTCCCTTGCAGCTTCCCCAGCTGTTTTTTCTCCTGTAGCCCCTTCTCCAAATAACACTTTGAGTCTTTGGAGAAGGAGCTGCATCAGCTAGCAAAGTACCTTGAAGGCCATGTTTATACTTCAGCAACAGCTGTACCACCATTATCTGCTAGTTAGGAGATGTACCTTTCCAATTCCAGTTTTGTCTGTGAATACAGAACATGAACACGTGCCCTCAAATAGTTGCAAATATGGCTTTCTGTGCTGACTCAAAAATGAGTTTGAGTAATAAAGAAAAACCCAGCCTCTTAATTTGTTACGGAAGTATATCCAATTTTCGAATCAGAGGCAAGCAAGGGAGGAGCTGGCCTCTTCCTTTCTGTTAAATGCAATTTTTACAAGGCTACGGAGTGGATACAGTTTGGCTAAAGTTGGTGGGAGTTTAGGACAGGGGTTGTGGATTTAATTAACACCTCCTTTCTTCCTGCTCCCTCAGTAATTTGAGCACTGTGTATAACTATTCTAATCCAGGACAATTAACAGTAACTTTTAAGTGTTTTTATGTTCTGAACACACTTGAAAATAAATACTGATTTAAGCCCTTCTTTCAGCTGAACGTTTGCCAAAAGCCACATTATTCACAGGTCCCACTGTACATGCAGCTACTCAGCTCTGTCCTTTGTCACCTATAAAATCAAAAGCTCCAGTTTCTTCCATTCTTCTCACAGGGGCCCCAAACTGTCTGGGACTTGGCTGTGGGAATGTAGGGGTGTTGAGGCAAACATAAACCCTTTCCTAGAAGCTAGGCCTCATAAACACAGGCAGCGGTTGTGGAATAACAGCTTCACACTAGGCTAGAGATATAGGGATTTGCTGCTAAAATGTTGCTACAGAGCTCAACAGCACTCAATTTACAAAACCTGAAATCCGTTTTATTTGAGATCCAATGGAAATTCTAATTTGGACCCTAAATGGAATCCACACATGGAAATAGGGCATCTGCAGTAGAGATGATAGTTTGTTTGCAGATTCCAACATGGCCCTATAATGAACAGTAAAATAAATACAGTTTGAGATCCATAGAGAACAAGTAGTTGACCCAGTGTCCTTTGCAAGAGAAAAAAAAGCAGCAGCTAATAGCAAACTTCTGGAGCTTGTTGATCCAGTGTCAGTATTTGCTGCAAGTTCCAAATTGTGAAATCTCTCCACGATGTGGGACAGATGTTGTGGCAAAGAAAATAAAAACAAACAGACATCAGGCTGGGAAAGGCAGAGACTAAAATGACACCATGTTCTAATTCCCTGTGGGACAGCTCCATGCAGCTTTCCAAATGACTGGACCAATGAGCAATTGGAGACTGAACAAGTCATATAAACAGAGCAGCTCAAGGTCTGCAATCAGTTCTGTGGAGTGTCTACAGTGTGAGCAGCAATTCCCGAAGGCAGGGGAGGAGGAAGGAATAACTTTGCTCCGGTGTCTTCTAAATGATCCTGACAATGCTGTGTCCAGAGCTGTTTGCGTAACAAAATGTACTCAAGTGGATTTTTTACAAAGCGCACTCTGGTTCCTATGGCAGTAGATCAACAAAAGGATATTCAATTAATTCAGGCGAAGGAATTCCCTCTTGCAGAGGAACTAATTCAGAAGTGGAGGTAAGATAAGGGCAAAGATGTACCAAAGGGAAATAAATGGGTTTATTGTCCTTCATTCAGAAGAGAGGTATAGAGGAATCAACAGCAGCTGCAGCTAAGACAAAAAGAGGAAAGACTGAATAAATAGCCCAAAGAAGATAAGGACATTACATGCATCCTTCAGTCACTTGGACCTGGAAAAGTGACCTGAAAATACCCTAAACTTCAATATTAATAAACTTCTCCCTCTTTCATAATACTAGGATCAGGGTCCTCTAAGGAAGCTGAGTATTGGAAGATTCAGGACAGGACAAGAGGCAGCACATACTGAAACTGAATAACTGGCTGCCACAAGATGGTGTGGTGGCCACCAACATGGACAGCTTTAAAATGGGATTAGACAAATTCACAAAGGATAAGGCTGCCAACAGCTACTCCTCACCATGGCTAAGTGTCCTTCACCCAGTATTGGTGACAGTATATTCATGAATAACAGTTGCTGAAGAATTCAAATAGGGAAAGTGTTGTGCTCAAGTCTTTCTGGTGGGTTTTCCATAGACGTCAGGTTGGCCACTGACATCAGGAATCACAAGACAGAGAAGCCAGTAGGAGAACACTTCAATCTCCCAGGACATTCAATACAGGATCTCAAAGCAGCTGTCTTATTACAAAAGAATTTCAGAAACAGACTTGAAAGAGAAGTTGCTGAATTACAACTTATCACTAAACTGAAAACTATGGAGAGACATGGTCTTAATAGAGATATTGGATTCCTGTCTCATTATATATGCTACTCATCTGCATACTATCCCTTGCTTTTTCCTGTAGGACTAATTGCAGTTAACAGTCATCAACAGGTTTATCATACCCATTGAGTCAATCACCCGTCTCCTACTACCCTCCTGAGAAAAAACCCATCCCACCCTCCCACTATATATAAGGGTCTGGTGACTTCTGTTTCGGTGTATCTGAAGAAGTGTGCATGCACACGAAAGCTTATACCAAGAACAAACTTAGTTGGTCTCTAAGGTGCTACTGGACAGGTTTTTATTTTATTTTATTTTATTTATATATTTTGACTTTGTCAGACCAACATGGGCCTTTGGTTTGAGCCAGCAGGGCTGATGTACTTAATTTTAATAAAATATAGAGATCTTCTCAAGACACTTTCTCAAATGGGTTTCCCATGTTTTCTGATCAGTTTGAAATTGCCGTTAGAACAGTTAGGAGCTTTTCCTTACCAGCAAGAACCCAGCCACAAATATAAAGGGAACATTCTGAAGCTGAAAGTTTGAAAAGAACACAGGGAAGATATTATTTTACCTGAATTGTTCGTTTCATCTCCAACTACAGCTTGTAAAAGCTTAGTAACAGCAGGATTGTGTTATCTGAGGAAAACCAAAAACCAACCTTACTTAACCCATAGTTACTTAAAATATATCCGACAATCAAAGACAACTGCCCTCCACTCTTATTAACTTAATGACAACAAATTATCTAGTTTAAATGGCCCAATGTAATCAGGTTAACAATTGACCAATCTGCTGATCAAATCAGAATGCTGGTTGTTCTAGACCAGGGGTCTGCAACCTTTAAGACAAAAAGAGCCACTTGGACCCATTTCCGAAGAAAAAAAAAACTGGGAGCCGCAAAACTCGTCATTATAAAAATAACGTTTTTGTCACTTTTTTATTATTTCTTTGTTTGACCCCTCAGAATTACTCCTCCTCATAGAAATAAACGTTAAATTAACAAGTTACCTTTTTTTGTGTGTGTGTGTTATTCACTCCCCTTCAAAACAGTGACCAGCGTACAATGTAGCGGGCGGGCGGGAAGGTGACATCGGGACGGTGCATGACTAACGCACGCCCCCATGCGACGTCACAGCCAGTACAGCGCCCGCCACAGTGGGGAGTGTCGGGGCGCACAATGCGCCTCCTCCCCTCGCTAGTATCCGCCCCGGAGCCGCGGCAAAGGTGTAAAAGAGCCACATGCGGCTCGCAGACCCCTGTCCTAGACAGTGGCTTTGCACCACTTCAGAATGGAAGAGGGGAAATTGTGTAAGTACTATGCATTTGTAAAATAAAACTCTCCAAGTTGGACCCAAGCTAAGTTAGTTGAACTTAAGTGAACTTAAAATCAATGGGGCAAGTTAATCATGACATACTGTAGTTTCCCAAGATGTCAATGGAATTTAAGTTAAACTAACCATTTGGATCAATCCTTCTATATACAACATGCCCGGGGAAAGAATCCAAAACTAGCCTTTTCCACTGGAATATGATTTCTAGCTGCAGGAGATTTTTTTAACACATAGAAACATTCAAATATGTTCCCCCGCCATCTGTATTTTGAGTTCCATAAGTGCTGTATCATGTGCTGATTCTGAACATGTAAATCCTTATCAGAATCACAGCATCACCATCACAGGACTTGAAGAAATCTCAAGAGCAAATTAGTTCAAGCTTCTATGGTGAAGCAATGTTTGCAACAACTTCTTAAGCTATCTCTCACTGATGCTTAAATTCTCATAAATGCCAGTTGGTAACTTGAGAACTTTCCTAAGCAATGTATTCCATCACTGTCACCAACATCAGGCTTTCCATAGGCCAGTAATTTCCAGTTCCGGATATATTGTGGAATCTATACCTTTTACAGGATGTTCTACTTTCCAGTGTATCTTCTCTAGCCAGAATTCTTGGACTTCAATGAACCGTGTTAGCTAGGGCTAATGGGACTTGTAGTCCAAAACTACAAGCTGGGGAAGACTGACTTGTGCCTTTCTCTTTTAAGTGAAGCTTTACGTGAGACATTACTCCATCTCAGGCCTAAAGAATACAAAGCCCCAGTTGTTTCCAGTGTCCTAGACCTAGATCTTTTGTGTCTACTAATAGGACCCAAAATAATATTTGACATTTTGCAGCAATGTCACATTGCTGACATATTTGTGCTCACATGATTGACTCTATTCCCAGAGTCTTCTCTGTGCTGCTGTTTAGCTATTTATCCCCAAACTAACGCACTTTGATTTTGTGTGTGGATGAAGCTTATGTTTTATTTTCCTAGCCATTGCTTGTTGGTAGCAAGCATGCTTTGCCTTGGAAGTTTTTAATCCTTGACATTGCTATCTAAAACTATATTGGGCCTTGTAGAGCCACTGCTAGTTAAATAGACATGCTGGGATAGATGATTCTGTGGTCTGACTTAATACAAAGCCGCGTCATATAATACCCCCATTTATCAAGAAGATCACAGAATCATAGAATTGTTGACTTGGAAGGACCATTAGGATCATCTAGTCCACCCCCCTGCAATGCAGGAATATGCAGCTATCCCATATGGAGATCGAACCTGCAACCTTGGCATTATCAGCACCACACACTAACTAACTGAGCTATCCTGTTGGTGGATTTTACTGCAAGCCTCCCAAGTCATTTCAGCCTACTAAGCTTGGGAAAGATTGAGGGCACAAGGAGAAGGGGACGGCAGAGGACGAGATGGTTGGAGAGTGTTCTCGAAGCTACTAGCATGAGTTTGACCAAACTGTGGGAGGCAGTGGAAGACAGGAGTGCCTGGCGTGCTCTGGTCCATGGGGTCACGAAGAGTCAGACACGACTAAACGACTAAACAACAACAACAACAATTGATCTGAAGGGTTTCCTTTTTGGTTTCTCATCATAGTATTAATATCACTGTTAAATACCAAATTTAGGAAAACATGAATGAGTTTTATGGGGATCAATATTAGAGCTTGTTTGCATGACAAAGAGCTTAATTTGAAACATTTTTCTTAAAATGGTGATAGTGTTGGGAAGCATGTATGTTCAGTTTTTCCCTTTAATTCTCATCTTGTCTCTCTGGTTTGTCATTTCCCAAATACTTAAGTACTGTCAAACTACAACTTCCCAGCAGCCCATCAGTCCACATATATCTGCATGCAGTGTTTGATACATAGTCAAATATATTGTGCTACGACAACCCTGTGTACTTCTCCATATTGGTGCACATATGAAGCATATCTGGTTAACAGACACGCACTTGTTGTTCTCTCCCTATGTAAGAGCTTCCACTGAAAGAGGAAGAGTGAGTGAGAATATGAGCATGTACTGTCTGGACATCTTTTACCTGCAGAAGGGGGAACTTGTGTGTAACTTGCATAGGAAACTCGGTGGGGGGGGGAGGTTTCTCTTCACTTGGTATATCCAGCGAGATAACCATGAATAGGATTACCTGAAACATATGAGGCAGTCAAGCCTAATGCTGCCTCTAATGGAATACAGTGGCATTAACTTGAGTAAATTCTTCATTGATTCCATGGTGATAATGTTGCACATTGCATGCATACACTTGCTTCCAGCATTTATCTTTAAAAAAACACCTGTACAAATGAGTTCCATATCACAACAGATTACAGGGGTGCACCCAGCATTCCTTTCATAGTTAAATTGGGTTGCATGTTTTACCAAAACTTTCAAAATGGGATGCTTAGGAAGTAAAATGCATTTTACATGCTCGTCACTCTGGAAAGTCTGTAGGCATATATTTATCCTCTCCACCATGCATATCGTGTGTGGTGTGGCTTATGTGCCTGATCTTAGAAAAAAGGGTATAGTAGTCATTTGCAGTTGAATGTATGCCACACATCATATGCAACATTGCATACATCAAAGTCAAGCAAATATGCACATCCGACACCCTACCACACATCTAGTCCCGAGAATGATGAGCATCTGAACTAGCTCTTACCTTCGTGATGAATGAGGGCGGAATGTTTTTGCCCTTCAGAAAACCCCTCTAAAGCCATTGCTAATATGGTTTGCATCCATTAAAATTTGTACAGATTTACAATTGCTTATTCTTTGAGCATTGAGGCTGACCTTAAGAAAAGAGAGAGAAATCACACATGCAACCACAAAACAAAACAAAATGCAGCTGGCCTGGTTTAAAGTCAGCCAAAGTAAGTAGGCTGCTACTTACTTTCTTCCTCACATCAGTATAGCATAGTTCTGGAAATGACTTTTTTATGCTATTCATAGCAGTGTCTATATTTGTGTGTTGTGGAAGAAAGTGGAGATAGAACTAAAAAAATATCCAGTTATAGTTATCTATCCATATAATCATAAATCATATTTCCTCCATTGTAACTTATTCCTCGTGCCTTTATCCATTCGCAACACTGTTAATAACAATGATAATTATATAATCTTCTTTAACTCTAGGATTCTATTCAGACTTCATAATCTTCACAAACATCTGTGGAGTATCCTTATCTTCTTTGTTATGCAGTTCCCGTTAAACAAAACAAACCTTGACAATATCCATTTTCCCATGCTTAATCTTCTGGCTACTGCTCTGGCTTCCTAGTCTTACTAGGCCTACTAAATACTGGAGTGAGAATGAACCTTATACCTGTGAGACGTTAAAATTTTATCCTGCAGAGAAAGATAACCTCTTAACAAAATACTTAATTTTTATGAAGTGTCAACAACATGAGAGTCAAGGTTACCTTCTTCTTCTCTCTCCCAATGTATCATCTCCAGAGAGCAGGTAGCAGGTTCTGTACTGTACTTGACCCTAAGAGTACCACTGTCAGAGAAGAAAATACTTTTGTTATTTGGTTATTATGTAATTATTATTATTTATTTACCAAGGACAATTACATACCACCATCAAAAATTGAGCCACTCAATGTAACTTACAGGACAAATTAAAAACAAACCTTCCAAATGGACAATCTACTGAGGGTGAGTTTACCAGGCAGTGTTTCTTGGTATGAGAAAAGGGACTTACAAAGGTATTCTACTCCCTCTTTTCATATGAAGAAGCTTAGGAAGGGATGTAACAGGAAAAGGAAAAGCTTCACGGGTTAGCAAAGCACAAGTTGCAAAGAGTGCCTCTATTTAGTTTGGAGAGGCTCCTTAAAAAGTATATTCATATTCGGGCTGATTTAATATTTAAAACGGGTGCTTGACAACATCTACAAAACATGTCAAATACTATGTCTTACAACATAATTTCATTGGGTATTTCCAGATAACTTGTTTATTGAGCAGGTTAGGGAAGGTTAGATGCTGCTGCATCGACGCCAATGTTACCCCACAGTTTCCAATGCATTTTCCTATTACTTTTCTTTTTGCAAAAGTCTGATCTTTGAGGGTAACTGATTCATTTCACAATACCTCCCAAACAATCTTAACTGCACAACCTAAATTTGGTGGTATGTGACTGAATCCTACTCCAAAATAGCAACTGGCTGGAATCCCCTTTTATGTTTTAAGTGACATCGATGGAGGTGCTAAGATGCATCAAGTTATTAAAAAGCCCACCAGGAGGGAAAATTAAATATGTCACAAATTTCTGCATAGTAGAATGGCATCCTATAGATAGTAAACTTTGTAAGTTGCAAATTTAACTGCTATGATTACAGGAAGGAACTAGCTAATTCTAAGGTCCGATTCATTTGTGCTCTTTGGCTTCTTTTTCACATTAGTGCACTTAGGTAGTGTTAGATTCTGGACTTAATGGTATTATGCCACACCCCCTCTTGAGACGATAATGTGTGGAAGGCCATAGCTCAGTGGCAGAGGACCTGCTTTGCCATGCAGAAGGTCACAGTTCAAACCCCAGCATTTTCAGGCAGGGCTGGGAAGGTGCCCAGACTGAATCCCCGGAGAGCCACTTCCAGTCACTGATCACTACTGAGCCAGATGGACCAATGGGCGTCCTATGTTATTCAAAATGGGGTTTTTTTGTTAGTTAGTTAGTTTTGTAAACTGCTTAGAGGTTTTCCTATACTCAAGCAGTATATAAATTTTGTTAGACAAAATAAATAAAACAAAATGTGGAAAGCCAGCACTGTAATAATAATAATAATAATAATAATAATAATAATAATAATAATAATAAATTTATTACTTATACCCCGCCCATCTGGCCAGGCCTCCCAAGCCACTCTAGGTGGCTTCCAACAGGTTATTAGTAAAACAATAAAACATCAAACATTAAAAACTTCCCTAAACAGAGCTGTCTTACAGGTATCTTCTAAAGTCAGATAGTTGTTTATTTCCTTGACATCTGATGGGAGGGCGTTCCACAGGGCAGGCGCCACTACCGAGAAGGCTATCTGCCTGGTTCCCTGTAACCTCACTTCTCAAAGTGAGGGAACCGCCAGAAGACCCTCAGAGCTGGACCTCAGTGTCTGGGCAGAACGACGGGGGTGGAGACACTCCACCCCCATCAACACTGGGCAGAGGCCGTTTAGGGCTTTAAAGGTCAGCACCAACACTTTGAATTGTGCTCGGGAGCCAATGTAGGTCTTTTAGGACCGTTGTTATATGGTCTCGGCGGCCACTCCCAGTCACCAGTCCAGCTGCTCCATGTAGAGTGCATTGCAGTAGTCCAAGCGGGAGATAACCAGAGCATGCACCACTCTGGCGAGATAGTCTGCGGGTAGGTAGGGTCTCTGGTAGACAGATGCCCTGGACACAGAATAGACCTGTGCCTCCATGAACAGCTGTGAGTTCAAAATGACTCCATTTGGGGGCCTTTCTGCTCATTCTTCAGAGTAGGTGCCCTGGACTTCCGTCCCAAAGGCTTCTTCTTGCGGCACCACTGTTTATTTGTTGAAGAGCTCAGAGGCTGCTTGTGTGACCAGTGTAAGATTGTCAGAGGGACCCTGCAGTTCCAGTTCCATTGGAAGGAGATAGGGCACTTATGATTTCTCAGACACATGGCATGCTTAATTAAAGCAACAGCCAGCCAGTGGGAATTTTGATTCCCTAAGGGCACAGTTAAAAACCCCACCCTGTTGCTGGGTCTTTGTGGATCCACTGCCACACCCACAACCTGACTGCTCATGCCTCCTGCAACTGAAGGAGGGGATGATGATCAGACCTGATCCCTGTGCAAATTCCAGGCTGGCACAAATATCAGGTCCATATTGGAACTAGATGCTGTTGCATAATAGTAGCGAGATTGGCTCAGGTTCCAGTGGACTGGTTTGATCCCACCCTCAGAATGCCCTATTGTGGGGCTTTCTGCTGGCCTCCACCATTGGGTGTACCACCAATGGGCCTCCTGCCCACCCATGTTTGGTAGCCATTAGGGGGAGATTGCTGCTCATAGAGCTCATTCTGATTGTGGGTGGTAAGATTTGCCCAGCACATGGAAACAGGTAAACTGAAATCACTCTGTTTTAATAGTTAAGATTATAGACGGTCACCCAACTGCAATAAGATACCTACTCTCGTCTCATCTATACATGCACATGAATACTCCTTGGTCTTATCTTTGGCAGCACATAAGGGATGAATTTTGGAACACAGGAAAAAGATTGTACAGAAGCGTCCAAGGGAGGCCTGTACAGGGATGAGGTGATGCTGTCTCATCCTGTGCCAGCTGTGCTCTTAACAAATCTTGTGCAGTAAATTAGAGCAACCTTTGGCCTGTTGCAAGTTATTGTGCTATGAACTCTCTCAAGGAAACATCAGTCTGGAATCTGCAGTGTGGGCCCTGAGAGATAACATCCACTTCCTGGGAAAGCACTAGCATGGAATAACAATTAACCCCCGTATTAATTATTGCATTATTCTCTTAATAATAATACATTGGCTGAGTGTTTTATGAAGCTTAAATAATGAGCTGTAATCAAGAAGAGCATTAGTTTATCATTACTGGGGTGTGTGAGAGAGTTGAGTATGCATGCTTGCTTTTCATAGTTGGTGACATGCTGTGCTGGAAAGGCTGAGGAAACAGATTAATGGACAAGGCGCAGGCTCTCCCTGGTCTGCTAAGGCATTGCTTTAAGAGAGAGAGTTCAACATAAGGTTGTTGCTAAGGCTGCTGAACTAATCGGGGCTCAACAACAGGAACTGTGCTGCAGTCACCCTGAAACTAAGCAGGTGTGGACCTGGTCAATAAACTGGGTGAGAGCTTTTTGTGAGCCCCTTGCAACATACTTCTTTTAAAGGGAGGGACCCCGGCCAAAGTGGCAGAGCACATGCTTTGCACTTAAAAGGTTCCAGGTTGAATCCCTGGCATCTCCAACCAAAAAGGAATGGGCAGCAGGTGATTGGAAAGGCCTGGGTCCCTGGAGAGCAGCTTCTGCTCAGGTAATACCGGGTTAGATGGACACGTAGTCTGACTTTGTATAAGGTAGCTCCCCATGCTTCCTGATCAAGGAAAACTTGATACAACTTGCTTCTTCTCTGAAGCCCGTCTCTGCCTGTAGCTGGCAGACAGGCCACTGGCAGCAGCACCCGCCAGCAGTGGGGTCTGTTGCCAGCTAGCAGGCCATCCAAGCTGAATACCATCACCCTCCAGGTATGGTGGCTGACCATGGGCTTCACAAGCCTTTGGTTTCTGCTACCTGGAACTACAGAAGCAAGAGGCTTGTCGGGTCCTACAGGATCACACTACAAGGCTGGTGGGCTGTGGTCGACTTAATAATGCAGGAATAACATGTTACTATAGCAGTTGGATTTATTTTTTTTAATACCAGAAAACATTTGTGCCATGTGGTATGACAAGTAAGTGACATTTACACATCTAGGGGAAATTCCAAACATGCTACGTTAAGGGCTGTCTCTCTGTGTGTGGTTTAACCAGCCATCAGCGGGCTTGTGGCTGGGTTGGCATCATGACACGAGTGGAGGAGGGAGTGTTTAACCCATTACCCCTGCACTGTGCTCCTGCTGAAAATGGCTCCCAATATCTGCTGTTTGCCCTAGGAGGGAAGATGGGGGAAGTGGGGAGAGGTTTACATTTTAAAGCCACCACCACCTGTGCTCTGGTCCTAACTGGATTTCTTCCTCTATTCTATTTAATTCTCTCCACCCCCCACCCCCGCCAAGATGCAGTTCACATATTGTGTAGTTTGGCCCTCCAGAGTCCACTTACCTACTTATGTGCACTAGTTGCCTCTGGACACATATTCATTGGCCCTCACAATCAGGGTGGTAGGGGCCTGGAAATCATGCTGCATGAACACATTTCTTTTTTCATTATGCAATTACCTTTTGTCCCAGGACAAAACAACAACAACGCTACAATAGTGGCAACACAGCGTGAGGTGCAGATTAAAGCAAAAAGGAGGAACAGTGGATCCCTCCCATGCTTATAGGGGACTGGAAGTTGATATCAATGCCAGATTAATTAATATAAAAGAAAACACCATGAACGTGTGAACATGGATGGTATTTGGGCCATTCTGTGGCAAAATTAGAGAAAAACTCTTGAGCAAGGCCCAAAGCAACTGCCTTCAATGGGTTAACACAGGATGTATGTGTAATTTGGCACACACTATGTATAAACAGGAAAGGAGCTGAAATGGCTGGCTGCACTTCAAGAACATATACTCTTCAGTGAAAGATATTTCCCTCCAAAGGCTAATGAGGTAATCTGAGTCATGCTGAGTTCCCGCCCAGGCAGAAATTCCCCTACATCATGACCAGCTTGATTGCAGTGACCAGTGACATATTCCCAGGGAAGCAGGAGCTGTTTGTGTGCCATCAGCTGATAAGTAAGGGTTAAATCCTGCTTAGTTCAACAGCATTCAATGCAACCCCCTTCCTGATTCTGGAAGGGATTT